TCATTTGTGGCTAATCTAAAAATAAAAGAAAGAGAAGTTACAACATATAGATTTTTTTGTCTCCAGATACCATATCTTGGTGTCGTTCACCCATCCTGCAGCGGCGTATTGATAGGCATCTGTACTCTTGAAGGCCTTCAGGCTTTCTCCGGTGTATGGTGATGGATTATGTATAAGATATATATAAATGTCCGGAAAAGTAAGTTGGGGCAGACGCGTCGCAGATTTTAACGGACACAACACCGTTTGAGGCAATAAATAAGGATCGCAACCAATAACAGATGTTTTTTCCAAATATCGTTTCATTTAGATGTGCTGTGTTTGCCATGTCGGACACAAATATGGCGGCGAGCAAAGCGGAAGTGACGTCTTTGGAACTCATGGATATGTATTTTGTTAAGATTCTAAAAAGTTTTGATTCCAAAAGACCGTAATACATTTTGTAATATGACACCCTGCACTAAGGGGGAGGAGCCCAAGGTCCATTTCTATGGTAACGCAATGTCCGATTTCAAAACGGTTTTCATAGGATTAATTTTGAGATTTGAAGCTTTCAAAAGATAATATATGATGATTACTAAATCATGTGATAGGAAAAAAAGGAAATGCATAGAATTTTTGTGACAAAGGTCAGAGCTCCTGTTATGGTGTATATGTTTTGAGGTGCACTCTTGTCATAAATTAATCTATTACTGCTCCTACATAATTTTTTAACAACAAACAGTGGTAAAATATCTATTTAGGAGTCTTAGACCTTTCCAACGATTCATCGTATAGTTTGTCATGATTAGATTAGGATTTAATTGCAATATATTGAAGAAAGCGAAAGCAGGAAGGTGACAAAGGGCTAAAGCGTCATGATGTTTCACTGCTGATAAGCTTTTGTAAGTAAATTAGTTCAGTGGCCAAAATCCAGTGGGTTTTATAAACGTGTAGCCTACATTGTACATAATGTACATTGATGGTACTGAGAAGCCAATACTTGTATTAATGTGCAAATGCTGACATCGATTATTTATTTTTATAAATGTATTTATTTGCATATTACGTAATTGTGAACCTATTTATAAACTTAATTCTCAAATCTAACCTTATTTCAAGGATTTCCCAGAGTGAAGTGCATGTGAGAGGCGTTTTCTGCCCTACATTGGTTGTTTCTCTCCAAACAATTTTTTTTGCTTGCTTCCGCTCTCATACCTCATTTCAGTTTCTTGTGCAGGTTCAGGTTTTTGTGTCGGCTGGTTTCCCGCACACGCTAGTTTTTACCAGTTGGACTAAATGCGCAGAACTTACCTCAAACTTTGTCAACAACATAAAACAGCATCCAAACGTGAGTATGAAAAGAAGAGTGTTCAGCTATAAAAAAAATACATAACTTGCATAAGCGAATGGTTTCTTAAATAAAAACATTGAAAATCCAGATAAAAAATATATGTACCCGCAGAATGATTGATTTTTGCTGCTCGAGGTATTTAACAACCGAAAAAAATTTCTTTGACACTCGATCTGAAGCCATGATAGCCTAATGTTTTATCTTTTCGTTAACTTTATTGCTTTTTAAATATTAAATATGTAGGCTAATCATATGTCTATCCACTGACTTTTTTTTTCAAATTTAAAATGGCTAATGTTAAGAGTTGGAAGTAAACGACAAATACACATTTTTAGATTATAATAGCTTATAATCACATGATTTTTGCAGGATTTATGAAAATGTGTCATCCTATCCTTTAATGACAATAATCTGTAATATTATTGCATATCCAAATAGAAATGTTCATTTGCACTACAAATACTAAGGGAATCTTGCGTATATTAATATACATTAGAAGTACATTAAAGCTTTGATTAAAAAATACAGTAAACATTTTCATTGTGTGTTTTTTAAGTAGGCCTATGTGTAGCCTACAATCTGGAGGCATTCTATATTTTGCTGGTAGTTTGTTTAGCTTAAAAGTCATTTTAATTTTTCATTTATTTCAGATTATTCGAATTTAATCAGTTTAAATTATGAATATTTCTAGACCAAACGAAACGAATGAAAACGAAACAAAATGACTTAAGTGAGTTGCGTTTGTGGCTCATAGTCACATATGCTTTTTCCTGTTTGCTCTTTTTTTCTTTGTAAAAGCATGAGCCTCTTTTTATGAACAAAAATAAATTAGTTAGGGTTTTCTCACCTAAAATAAATCTTAATATAACTCCAGGCTTTTTATTTAAAAAGAAACTCATTTTCATTGACTATATTTTTTTTAGAAAAGGAACAGAATGGCAATTTGCAAGATCCTCTTTTTTCTTCTTGGTAAGCATAAATAAATTCATAAAGTGCATTGTATTATTCTAAGCTGTACTATACATTTTATTTTAAGCAGTCTATACTTTGACTGTAGAGCTTTCTTTGTCTTGCTGTGTTTAACCCTCCTTGCTCTCCATCCTTCTCTCCTTCAGCACTGTGTATATGGTGTGGGAAATGTGATGTGTTTTATAAGCAAGTCGGGGATGAGGTTTCCATGAAGTGTGGAGTGGATTCAAACAGTAATATAGAATGGAAATTTAACGGCGTGTTGATCTTAACCATTGATGGCAGACGTGGGACTAGACGGAAGGGTATCAGTTCTTCTCCTTTCAATCCAAAAATGACTTGAATATGAAGTTTTGTGAGTAGTCACTGTAATTGATTTTTATTTTAAAGGTACTTCCCATATTGCGTCAAAAGCAAGTGCATCTGGAGACATTTTGAAGGTTCCTAGACTGGAGACAAAAGACTCTGGAAACTATTTCTGTAGGCAGTCAGGGAAACAACACATAGTCCATGTTGTGTCAGGTGAGAGACGAAAGTAGTGCTTGTCATTTTTTTAATGTTTGTACTTATTTATTTTTATAATTATTGCATTTTTCATATTTACTCCCATTTCTCTTTCAGTCTTTGTTAAACCAGGCCCAGTGCTGCCGCAGTCTAGTAATGCAGAGCTGCACTGTGACATTACAGGAGACCCAAACAAGGAAGTACAGTGGCTGAGACCTAATGGTCAAAAATATAATGAAAAAAATCGAGTAATTCACCTGAAGTCTGTGACTTCAAATGAAGCAGGCCAGTGGACGTGTCTAGTCAAGGATGACTTGAAGCTCAGTGTAACATTGACTGTTGTTGGTTGGTGCCCCTTAGTAGTTGTTATTCAGAATGAGTGTTTTTTATTACTATAATGCTTCACATTTCATGCTGTCAGTGACATTTGTCTGGGTCTCCAACAGGTCTCCAGACCACAGCTGTTAATGCTTCTAAAGGGGATGACATAGAGCTGCCCTGTTCTCTTCCTCAGAGTGTATTTCAGCGTGTTGTGGGTGGGACATGGAAGGCTGGCCACCTTCCCAAAGTCTCTTTCCCAACCCTGACGAACACACCAAGCAAAATCTTACACTGGAATGGCAAGGATTTATCAAAAGTCAACTTTACTACTGGGCAACTCAGCACCAACTTTGATGTCACGTTGAAAAATGTGAATACTTTACACTGTTTTTAATCATCTAAAGAATGCTTTTCCTGTATAAAGAACTATTTCTGCAATTGAAAAATTTCCATGGATGTTAAAGGTTCTTCATGGAATAATCCATACCAAAAAAATTTTTTTTTTTTTGTATGTTGACAGTAATTTCCCCTCATATTCTCTCAGGTGCAGAGCACTGATGAAGGGACGTTTGTGTGTACAGTGGAGTTTGAGGGTGGAGTGCGTCTAAGTGTCGAGACGACTTTGAGGGTTGTGGACAAACCAGGTAAAACAAAACAACACTGCACAGCTTAACAGAATCAGTCTTGGGATTCACACTTTTTATCAGAACCTTATCATTTACTGGCAGATGTTAGAGATTAGTCAGTACTGTATATACAGTGGGTACGGAAAGTATTCAGACCCCCTTAA